TGCTGCTTACACATGCTGGCTATTCCTTCTTACCATGAGGTAGTAAAAGGGAGAAGATGAAGGGCAAACTTCTGAGTTTGTTGTGGGGGAAGCAGAGCTGGTCAAGGCACGGGATCCACCTGTCTGCTCTTAGGGTGTGAGTGAGCTCATGAAGAAACAGGACATGGGCAGATTCTCATGGGGCCAAGAGACTGTTTTGGGACTACTATGCAATCCAGAGAGTGTGTGCAGCCCACATCTCCAGCCTGGACCATGCAGAGGGGAGGGGATCTAGGAGGACGCTAGTTGCAGCTGTCTGGGCTGGTGTCTGCTCAGTTTGCCAGGGATGGGTAGTGAGGATCTGGCATGTTGTATTGGATTGATTCAGTTCATTGAAGAGGCAGATTCATGTCTCCACCCTTCCTTAGCAGATGGCTTGACAGGGTGCCCAGACCCTGGGCTGTAGCAGGTAGAGGGTGAAAAACATGATGAACTTGCTCTCTTAGCCTTGCAGTGGAAAGACTGACTCATGTTCCAAGCAGAGATCATAGGGAGGAGGAGAAAGAGGAAAACGTTGGCATAAAGAAGTGTGACCCTTCTGGCCAGCTGTTCTAAAGCAGGGGGGTTTCCTTTGCCCTTAGCTCCACCAGGGCTCTGTGTTCTTGTGTTGTCCAGCATGTGCCACCCTTGTGCTTCATTCCTATCCACAACTCTCTTTTTCCCTCCTAATCCCTCTCTAGAGAAGGGGAAAATGTCAGCAAAAGTAACTTGGTTGCCTAATAAGGCTGAGACTGGAACAGAGTGAAGATGAACGTCTTTTTCTGATCAAATTGAGATGCAGTTCATCTTAGCCCCTTTCATGTCTTGTGTGCCATAATGCCTGCTTATAAGAACTGAAGGAACCTCTTTTCTTGTTATTGGGGGTTTTTTGTCTTTTTAAATCACTGTTCTCACTTTTGTTGTGCCTTCCCCTCAGGCAGAAAGCCCCCTTGGGAACTGGGTGGAGTGAGAAGCTTTGCTAGGCAGAATGCTCTTCCCCCACAGTGAAGTTATGGCTCTTCTAAGTCCAGACTTGTTGATGCAGCAGGAGGGACTCTTGTCATGGTCACGAGGTCCTGGTGCCAAGCGACTGTGTGGAGGTCTTGGGTGCAGAAAGATTATAGAGAAATGGGGACCCAGCTGAGAAAGGGGGAGCCTGTGTTGAGCAAGATGAAAGCTGTACCACTGAGGCTGTAGCACAAGGGGAATGTGCTTTCCCTGGGGACAGCAGGAGGAGAGCAGGTGTGTTAGCTCATAGGATTCAGCAGCTGAAAAGTATAGCAGGAAGAAGCTATTTCTCATTTTTACTCATAGGAGGGAGCCGGAGATCTGCTCTTGGACCTTTGGCATTGCCTTGTCTTAATGATTGTAATACAAGGCCAATGCCAGGCTTTGCTGGAGACAGAAGAGAAAGACAAGTCAGTCTTTGCATGGGTGCTTTGGCATCACTGGAGCCCTGTGAAGCAGGGGCTGAAGTGCCTGTGTGCTGGGACTGCACCTCATTATCTTCCACAGTGGGAGCAGCTTCTCATCTAATACCAGCCCTTCTCATGCATGGCCGTCCTCAGGGATTTTTAGTGCACTGCAAGTCATGTTTTCAGTGTTGAGGTATGGCCCTTGTCTCTTGGGAGTTTCAGATAAGTCTACAGCTGCAGTATCTGCAACTCCTGTTCCTGAAGTACAGCCTGTTGTCTTCTCCATTATTTGCTCCATCATTCTCCTCTTCTTCCTCTGATTTGTTTTTCCCTTTTGCCCCCTTAGGCTGGAGGAGAAGGTCCTACTGGAATAGCAATGCTCAGGTTCTTCTGTAGGACTCTGGCCCTGTCTGCCTTCTGGACTTACTCACTTCCTTACTCTAAGGAAATTAAATTTAAACCAGACTTCTGTTGTGGTGGAAGGAAGGGGCTTTACAGATGAAATGCATTTTTTTTTGTTTCTCTTTCTCAAGAATTGTTTAAACATTTTTTTGATATAAGGCCAAACTAGTCAGTGTTTCTGTCTAATTTGTCTGGCTAGCCCTGTGTTTATTATCCTTAGGGAGCTAGAATGCTTGTCATTAAAAATCTTCCTTTTTGTCCCTGGAGGAACAGACACCAGCAAGCTGACTTTTGCACAGTAATTTTCCAAGGTAGTGGCTTGCCCTCTGTTCAGCCTTGCCTGTACTGCTGTGCTAGGACCTCTGCAACCAGTGCATGGAGGGGACAGCCACCCCCCAGACAACCACCACAAGAGGGAACCCAAAAGCTTGTGGGTGTATGAGGTGGGAGAAAGGCAAAGCAAGAGGCAGGTTTCTGTTAGATTGTTTCGCAGTGCTGAACTCTGAGGTGAGTATTGAGACTCCGTCATCTTATCTGAACCAGGTACTGAGGCTTGAGAAGGACCAATAACCCTGTCCTGCCGCTGGGCTGGAGCTGGGATAAAATTACCAGAGCCTGAGGTCTGTGGGTTGTTGCAGCCATAAACAGTGAAACCTGCTGTCTCTCTGGGAGCAAACTCTCTGGTGGAAGGAGGGAATGCATCACCTGCAGCCCTCTTCAGCCTTGTGCTTTTTCTTTCCCAAGATGTTTCTACCTTCAAATTGGTGCAAAGGAAGGCCAGGTAGTAGGTGAAGTAGTGAGTGGCACACCCAAGCCTTGCATTTCTTTCTGCCTGCCTAAATTCTGTTGTCTGTCTTAGTGCTTCCCACCTAAAAAAGGAATTGTGTGCCCATGCATGGCTTTAGTCGGAGAACCCATCTTCCTCCTCTGCCCTGAGTGAAGGGAAGGACATGGGCTTTGGTGGACCTGCAGCAGCTGAGTTTGCTAAAGCAGGGGGAGTAGGGCAGGTTAGACATCTTTGCCCCTTTGTGTGTAATGCCATGCCTAAGTGACAGACAGAAAAGAAAGGGTGATTTTGTGCCTGTGTGGTTGGTATGAAGGGTGACACGCTCAAGCCCACTCTTGCTGTTGCTTTCTCTGATCCCTGTGTCCTGCTAAGGTGTTTGCTGTTGTGCTGCTCAGGCCAGCCTGTTCTTTGTGTCTCTGTGACAGGTAAACAAGGAAACTTTGTGTCCTCCAGGTAATGTGAGTTGTGATGGAGGGAGGGTATTCATTCCCCTCCGCTCACCTTGGTGTGTCCTTGTGGGCTGTTAGTGTCTCTTCCCCTCTTCAGTATCCCCCAGGCTCTCTCCCTGTCTCCCAGCTTCTGCCAGCAATCTCCATGGCTGCTATGCCTCTGCACTGTGAAGACACATGTCCAGGGTCACTCCTGGTGCGATTAGTGAACACTGGTGGTGAAGAGGAAGGGATGACTCGTCCTGGCTTCATTGGCGAGAAAGGAGGGAAATGAGTGGGAAAATGGATCCTGTATACCTCCATTACTGTGTTCTCCCTACCCTCCCCAAACCCCTCCTTTCTGATATCTGAGACATTGGACAAACTCACGCTATGGAAAGAGAAGGAAGAGAAGGGGAGCTGGAGAGTCAGGGGGTAACAGGAAGGGCTCAGATCCAGTACCAAGAAAGAGCCATTTCTAATGCAATACACTGTAATTTTAAAGCTTTGGGGACTATATATATTGAAATAAGAAGGGATCTGAAATACTCTGAGACTCTAAGAATTTGAACCACTGGTTTTTCCTTCCTGTGAGGATGATGATGCAGTATCGTCCTGAAGGTGGTCCAGCAGCACTTCTGAGCCTGGGATCGACCTGGACCTACTGGTGGTGTTGCCCCTGGAGTGGCTCCAGAACACCCTGCTTTGGAAAAAGAATGTGTGGACTTGCCAAAAAAAAACAAAAAGAAAAGAAAAAATAAGAGCATCTGCAAATCTCCTTTCCACTCTGTAATTTATAAACAGCAAGTAATAATGAACTTTTTGTAAGGATAAATCAAATGTACATTCTGAAATCATTTTCTCTGTAAATGGTTGGATTTCATTTCACCCTTAAAGGGATGCTTAAAAGGAGGAGATAATAATAAAAATTAAAAAATTTACAAAGTATGAAAGGATGTGTGTGACACCTTTTATTTCTGATTGCCTTGTGGAGGGGCTGCTGGAAAATGGAGTGAGGGAGCCTCCCAATCTTGGTGGAACACTGTTCCCAAGAAGGGAGATTGAGGGGCAGCCCAGCTAGTTTGGGGACTGATTGCTGATTTTGTGGGCCCAGGTCAGACCTAATCTGTATGTTAAGTGAATATAAACATGTAAAAGCATAAGAGTGGGGAACAATGGCTGCTAAGTGGCTCTCAGAAGAGCTGGTGGATGGGAGAACCAACGTCACCTGCTCATGAAATGGTATTTTGACACCATCTTTGCTCCCTTGGATACGTCCCTTTTTCCAAGTAAAGCACTGGAAATCCTGAAGCCCCAAATTAAACCTCTCCATTGCAGAAATGCCTCTCTGGCACATGACCTCCTTGTTTTAGTTTATTTTTAAACCTGTCTAACATAGTTTTGGCTGTTCCCATTACTTGGTATCAAAGCCTGATCCTGCTCTAAATCCTTCTAAACATCCAGCCTCTAAAGTGTCTTTGGTAAGGGCCTTTTGTAAGCTCATGTGCCATCTACTGCCATTTCATTTCTTACCTTTTAAGTGTCTTAGACTTCAAGTTCTAAGATAGTGACTGTAAACATCATAGGTTAGTTTCCTCATAAACATTAGCTCCAGTGCATTCCCCTCTTCTTTCTGCCTTCCATGTCAGCCTAGTGTTTTCAATTCTCCTCTTGTGGAAGGCTCTCTTACCAAACTAGTGGCTTGTGTTGAGCATTGCTGAAAGGGCCTGAAATAAACATGCCACCCAAAATTAACAAAATTTTCTATTAAGAATTTTTAGCATTTGCAGCAATGACTATATTTTTGTGCCTGAACAGGGAATAATCTAAAAATAGATAATGGCCAGCATGCCTGAAATTCAATTTTTCAAGAGGGAAAGTATAAGTATATAAGCTTAGACCAATGGCAGTTTAGTGAGACAGTTTAAGAAATGAGACATGACTAGGTCAAAGGTTCTCCCACGTTATTTTAATTGCCTCCAACACAAAGTCTTCACTGACATTTATATTATTTTAAGAAGTAACCTACATGGCATTTCTTTAGTTTCTTGCAAGGTTTTAAAAGAAGGCATTGACTGAACCCAGGACTTTTTTTCCCCAGAAAGCGCAAGCTTTTGCTGCAGGAGTCTTTGAGAGAAGGGTTGACTCTTGGGCAAACAGTCTGCTGTGGAGACCCTCATTTGCAGGAGCAGTGCTGATGGTCAGCAGAGTGCAGGGAGCATGTGGCTCCACCACCAGCCCTATATACCATCTCTCAGAGGGTCCTTCAACATACCAAAAGGGATCTAGATGCATCCTAGGTGTGGATATGGAACCTTAGGCACCAAATTGAACCAGGAGCGTGCAAACCATCCAACGCTACGTAAATCTTGTGTTTTGCAGAATTGCAGTGCCCCAGCAGATGTCAGATGGGGCGATGGATCGTGGAGGAGCTCTGGCGTGACGTGCCTTGGAAATAAGTTGTTCCCCTGAAGCTCTCGCTGTTGTTCAGAGATTTGTGGTGCTCATCACGGGCACCATGCGACACACTGCTTGATGGGAACCAAGGCCGTGGCAGACTCTCCATCCCTGGCTCCTGGAGGGTCTGGCTCCAGCTGACTCTCAGTCGATGCCTGCAGCAGGTTAGCTGGTACGGGAATTGACGTGCTGTTTCCAAACACCAAGGTGCTTGGAAAAAAAGTGACTTCAATATAAACTTACCCTTTCAGAAAGCTGGAAAGGAGATACCAGACCCTGGCTTGCTGGTTGTTTGCTTTTGTTGCTCGGAGACATTTGTTCCCTGTGTAAGGATACATTTTAATATGCTGTTTAGCAGGGACAGTTAATTTTTAATTATTAGTCCAGTTTTATATTATGTTTTTAAATCTTGCTGCTTTAGTGGCTCAGCTGGGGGAGCAGTGAGGTCTCAGCTGGCTGGCAGGCAGCCCGTGGAGCAGCCAGGGAGAGTCATCCCAGCCCCAGAGAGCGTCACCAGCAAATGGCTTCATGCTCACATGCCCGCAGCTGCAGGCACTGGCTGCCCTGCTTTCCAGAGCACTGTGACAGAGGGGATTTGGCCACAGCCATGGCAGAAGGGAGGCACGTTCTTGCTCCCTGGCAGTGGCACATGTTCTTGTGGCTCACGGGCACCGTGTGTCAAACTTTCACCTGGGAGCGAGCTTTGCAGGGCTTTGCTCTGTCACTGCAAAACAACCTCAGAGGAGCTGTGCAAAATTGTCCCATCTGGAGAAGGATCTCCGGGTCACTGAAATGAGAGGCTGACATAAGGAATATAATCCATGGACGCTAGGGAGAGGAGCCTGGCTTGGGGCCAGGCTGCTGCAAGCTCTGCCTTGGTAGCTGCAGCAGGGACAAGCACATCAGCAAAAGGGTAGAGGATCAGCCCACTTCAGCTAATATTTGGGATGTTACTGTAAGCACAAACCTTTTCTTGGAACTAAGGAGAATCCGGCAATCCCACATTTCTAGCATTTCTGGGTGTGCTTATTTTTTTTAAGCGAAGTGAGAAGTGAAAATAGTCCTTACTGTCTTTTGAAATATACTATAGCTATGTAAGACTGCAAATCTTTCAAAACCATATCTCTCCTCACCCTGCCAAACGAAACACAATATAAAACTCCATTGTTCTACTCTTATGTTTCCTGTGCCTTATGGCTTGAACCATGGATCCTCTTGGCTGAGGTCCATCCCAGAAACGATTTAATTTGGGAACGTGCTTCACCTTTCTAAAAATAAGGAAAACTGAGAAGAAGAGCAAATAAGCTGTGTTGAATAAAGATCTAAAATGACTTCTCCAGGATCTCAAATTAAAGAAAATATGTTACCCAGGGAATGTATAAAATCAAATAATATAAGCCTGCCTCTATGCAGCAAACTCTTTCCTGGCATTTTAACCCTGTTCTATAGTCTGGACCTTTTCCAAAGAAAGAGCAACAAATCGTCAGTCATATCTTTCTTTTTTTTCCCCTCAGACACTTACTAAGAACCAGGCACACATACAAAAATAAAAGAAGGTAGAAAACATCTACCCATTTCTGTTTGCTTTGCAGTGTTTTTAAAGCATTTGACTCAAACTGTTACCCAGAAGTGAAATATCAGGCTACTGCAAAACCAAAACCAGGTAGATTTCCCAAAATGAGGCAGAAATAAATCTGTCTAAGGACCCGTGACTTAATGAGACAAGATGTGCAATAGGTGCCTTTACCTGGAAAAAGAAGAGGAGCAGCAGGATATAGTAGCTGTGCGCTTCTCAGGTTGTAGGTCTGTACAAAGGGAGGGTATAGCTCAGTGGTAGAGCATTTGACTGCAGATCAAGAGATTCCTGGCTCAAATCCGGGTGCCCCCTTCTTTGCTACCTGAGATTAGCTCAGTTGGTTAGAGTGAGGTGCCAATAACACCAAGGTCATGTGTTCAATCCCTGTACAGGCCATTCCCTTAAGAATTGGATGCCGTTCCCTTCCAGCTCAGAATAATCTGTGAAAAGGGACCAAACCCCATGTGATACTGGGAGTCCAGATAACGCCTTACACAAACCAAAGTCCCATGTTCATACTGGGAGAACCTCATTGCAGCATGTGAAGGAGCACAAGAAAGCCTGAGGTGGTACCACTAGCTGCAAGCTCTCTGATCTCTGCAGACACTTACACTGTAGAAGGCCCACGAGGCTGTTGGAGTGATGCAGGAGGATAACAACACTCTCAAAGCAGGATCTCTGAACGGCTCTGTAAATCTCCTGCCGCATGCAGCTGGTGCAAACTGAAAAATGGGGTTGGAATTTTATTAGTCGGGGGTAACGAGAAAAATCCCCAACGAACCCAACCATGGGGAAATTTGGTTGAAGAAACATGAGTTGTGCTAAGAATGAAAGTGGGCACAGACCAATAGTAAAAATACCACAGCAGCAATTTCAATTTGTTGGGTAATAAAACTGAGCCTCCTCAGTGACCTTGTGCAGCCCCTTGCAGGGGCAGCAGCTCTGCATCACACAGACCACTTGCTGCTGGCAGTGTTCGAGCACCTTGGGCTGCAGGGCTGGAATCTGGGGAGCTGAAAAGACCCACTTCAGCTGCAGGAAGGCTAGGACTTCTCCCTTCTTTGCCCTGTCTAAAACATACCATGAGCATGGCTCCCCAGGGTGGATAGTTACCGTCTGTACTAAAATCTGGGTCTCGGCTGTAAATCAGGAATGCTCCTTGAAAGGTGGCTGCATACCAGTGGTCTCTCCTCCCTCACCATCCATCTTCCTTTCCACATGCACTCAGCATCAAAGCTGCTGGGGGTTCAGGAAATGAAGCCATGTGGCCACCCTTGGCCCTCTGCCCCTCCTGGCTTGTTGCAGCTGGAGAGCAGGAGCCCAAATGTCATTAATCCTTGCGATTTCTCGAGAAAAGTGAAGAAATAGGGCTGCAATGAAAGAGAAAACTGTTGAACAGGGTGAGACTGCCAAAAGGCCTCCTGCAAGGTCCATTTACTAAAAGATATTAAGGATATTAAGCCCAAGTTTAGATGGCATTGGTGGGTCACTACCCATCTTCCCTCTCGCATTTTAGAACTGTTTTCAGTCTCCTCTAGGAGGCCAGCCTTCTGTTCCAAGGACAGTTTGTTTTCCATCCCCACAGAGCCCCTCCAAGATGCCATTTGCAGCTCTGGGGGTCACATTCACCTCTCTGCTGCCAAGGGAGGTGGCAGGCAGCACAGGGATGTCTCCCTGGCTGGTAATGGTCCTGCCCTTGCAAAATGGGTGATGGGAAGCCCTGGGCATGGCCCTTGACTCCCAGAAGCAGAGGCTGCAAACCAGGCTTGGGGCCAGCCATTTGCTGCTTTTGGTAGCCATTAAAGCCTGCTTGAGTGGCAGGACTGGCTGCAATCATGAGAAGACTGTCAGAGGAGTGGCAACTCTGGAGAATTCCAAGGAGGCAGGGTCTGGGGGAATGTCTTAGCTTTATCCCAAGTACCAGCATGGGTTACTGTGCCCTGTCACACATGCTGCCTTTGATATTTCACAAACTCAGTCATTTGGGGAAACAAAGGTCGTTACTGTTCTCCAGGAGCACAGTGGAGGTGTGCCCCCCCTCTCTGCACTTTGCCCCACTGGGGCAAGTAAATTCCCTTTTTTACAGGGACACAGGCTGGAATCTCAGGGGGAACCCCATTCCCAGTGGGTCCATGGGCAAAGAAACCACCAAGCAACAGGGTTCTGGAGGCAATGGGGCGCTAGGGCCAGTATCCCATCAGGGCAGCACAAGTTTTGGGGGTGCTGGGTGTGTCCCCACTGGCACAGCTGCATGTAGTGGGTCAGCAGAGGAGCTGACTGGGTTGGGAAACACTGGAGAGAGTGGGGATGTTGCTTCATTGTCTCAAGGCATAGTTCAAGTTTACAACGCCCACCGTGTCACCAGAGGTCTGGCGCTCTCACAGCAGCTGGGATGGCGTTGGTCATGTGCTGCTCTGCTGTTGCACTCACCCTCCTCCTTACAAGGCAGGAGGGGCAGGTTGAACACTCGTTCAGTGTAGGCGTGGGGAGTCCACATTGGGCAGTGGGCACAGAGAGTGACCTCCATGGAGGGGCTGGGGCAGTTTTGTGTGGGTGGAGTAGTTCACAACACGCGCATGCAGCTGCTGGCAAGGGGCCCGGGAGCTGGCAGACAGCCTGAGGGGGAAAAGAGCGGAGAAAAACACCAAAATAAGCACAAGCCAAGGGGGCCAGGCTGGGGAGGGGGCACTTACGGAGGCACACAGTCCTTGGCTGCAGGGCAGCAAGGAGGGCAGCAAGGGAAGTCCATCATTGAGCAGCGTGATCCAGCAGATCCCATTTGTAGTATATCAGGGGTTGCCACATGGAACTGCTCCAGTTTTGATACATACTTGAGAGTTTTGGAGACTCTCCAGTGTTTCCCAACCCAGTCAGCTCCTCTGCAGCACACCTGCCCTGAGGTGACAGAGGCCTGTTGTGGTGAGTGAAGTATTTCTGTGGATTAACATCCCAAGGAGGAGGCAAGAAGCTGGGAGGAAAGTTCAAAGATTGATTTTCATTCTGGCAGCAGGTTAAGGGTAGGGAATATGAACGCTGCCTCTGAGGTCCTGGAATGCCCAGTATATGAACTGATGATCTGGAAACAAAGATGAGCAATATACCAAACATTTTTGAAGAATGACTCAAAGCTATTGACTCTTGAGGAGATCAGAAAGGACTGAGTAAAATGCAAATGTGGCAAATGGGCAACACCACACGTTTGCCAAGGTTTAACTGGGCACTTGCAAAGTCAGAAATCAAATTGCGTGTAAGAATTACAAGGCTCCAGATGTTCTCTAGCAACTCAAGAAAGAATCTGGATGTCACACAACCCCTGATTCTGTGAGTAGCTGCAGGTTAAAAAAAAAGCACACACAAAATATTAGCATGCAGAAAGAAAAGGGGGAGAATAATATGGAAAATATGATAATGCTATTATGTAAATCACTAGTGTGGACTCTCTGGGAATACTGTCTGCAGTTCAAGTAAACCTTTCTCAGAAAGAGCTGATTAGGGGCATGGCAAATTCGCTCACAAAGAGAGATCAAAATGATTGGGGTTGTTTATCTCAGAAAGGAAATGAACAAGAGGAGATTGGCACAGAGTGAGCCAGTCTGGAGATTCTGGTTTTCTTCCTGTTCAGTTCTATCACTGTCATATCTGGTGTCGCTGAGAAGTGTGTGAAGTGATGTGGCTCTCCTCTGTCACACACGGTTTGCTCTTTCTCTCACCCTCTCCCCCAGGGGAGGCATGGCATATGTGGTAATGTTTTATAATTTGGTAGGACCTGGGGAGGAGGAGACAGCTAAGGAGGAATATATGCATGCCCCAGAGTAGGCATATAGTAGAAAATATGAGAACAGAAAAGGGAGATTTGCACTCAGACAGCGGGGGCAAAGGTTCTGGCTTCAGGAGGCTCCTTCTATTAGCTCAGGCAGACCCCAGAGAGGCTGCCAGCTACTGCTCTTCTCCTAGAGACCTTGAGACTTCCAGGCTAGGCCTTGGGGTTCCTTGGAGATAAAGATAAGGAGCTTGAATTAGATAAATTATTCTCTAGAAAGCATCAGGGTAGTCAGAGGTACCTTGAGACACACAGCATTAACCCTGCTCTCTGCCAGGGGAGGTTTAGGCTGGACATCAGGAGAAACTTCTTCACAGAAAGGGTGATCAGACATATGGAATGGGCTGCCCAGGGAGGTGGTGGAGTCACCATCCCTGGAGGTGTTTAAGGAAAGACCGGACGTGGCACTGAGTGCCATGGTCTAGTTGACATGGTGGTGTTTGGTCATGGGCTGGACTCGATGCTCTCAGAGGTCTTTTCCAGCCTAACTGATTCTTTGGTTCTGTGACCCTGGAGCACCAAAGGAATCTTCTCACCCTGCCCTCCCCCGGCAGCCGGCACGCTCAGCCCTGGCGCTCTGTGCTGTGGGTGTCACTCGCTGCGGCGCGACCAGCGCTCCCCTTTCTCACATAAACATTTGATGGCATTCAGGCGCGTCTCAGCCAGAACGACAAAAGGAAAACACTCTTGATGCTCCGGCTGTCCCGGACACGGGAACCGGCCGGGCCGACATTCCGGGGAGCCCGTGCTGCCAGCGGGCCCTTCCCGGCGGGAGCGGCGCGGGCACCGCTGCCCGCGGGTGCCCCGCGCCCGCAGTTCCCTCCCCGCCGCCAGGGGGCGAGAGCGCCGCGCGGCACGGGCGGCCCGGCCCCCTCGGGGCTCGCGCTGCGATTGGCGCGCGCGGGGCCGCGGCCCCGGAAGCGGAAGGGCCGCGCTGCCGGGTGACCCCGGGAGCGGCGCCGGGAGGCACCGGAGCGACCCCCGCCCGGGGCCCGGGCCCGCTCGCTGATTGCGGCGTCGCCGCCCGCCTCCCGCGGCCGGGATCAAGTGCTGCGAGCGGACCCGTCGGCGAGCCCGTTACCGCGGCGTCGTTAGAGAGGCGGCCCCGGCCCTTCCCGGGGCCTGGCACGAAGCGGAAGGCGGCGACCGGTGCCTCTCGGGGGAGGGGAAGAGCTGACTGGGATCTCTCCTCGGTCCTTCCTCCGCAGGTCGCCCGCCCGCGCCGCACGGTTGCCCCGATGGCCGCGTGGTCCCGCGGGGCGGTGCTGGCGCTGTACCGGGCCCTGCTGCGCCGCGGCCGCGCCCTGCGCTACACCGACCGCGACTTCTACCTGGCCACCGTCCGCCGCGAGTTCCGCCGCAACCAGGGGCTGCAGCGCCCGGAGGACAAGGAGAGGCAGCTGGAGAAGGGGCAGGCGTTCCTGCAGAGCGGGCTCGGCGGCCTGGTGTAGAGATTCCCTGTAGCGGCTCCCACTGACTCCACTTACTTCCCTCTTCTTTCCAAAACAACCTCACCAAGCAGAAGAGATGATTAACACTCACTGCACACCACTGTCTTGAAGAAGTCTGGAAGGTGCTTCCACGGGTACACCAGGAGGGCTCTCCTGTTCTTTTCACAAATGCATTAGGTCACAGGTAGGTCATTTACAGTGATATCACCGTGTTCTTCATGCTGCTGCTACAGCGGGCTTTGTGAAGGTGCATTATCTTTTCTGCCTGGCAATCACAAGTGACTGTATTCCTGGTTCATCCAGGCAGGAACATTTCTCCTGAGATTGTAGCTTGGATTTAGAAAAACCAATGGGCAGTTTTAAACCACCCAAGTCAGGCAAGCAGGCAGGCTGAGAACCTTTGGAACTGACTCAGAAAATAGACCTCAAGTCATGTTGGAAGAGTTTTCTGGTTGTTTTCATGTTGGTTCCCTGGGGATCCACCTATAGGTACAGTGGTGCCAAGGTGGGTTTTACAGAATCAGTTAGGCTGGAAAAGACCTCTGAGAGCATCGAGTCCAACCCATGACCAAACACCACCATGTCAACTAGACCATGGCACTCAGTGCCACATCCGGTCTTTACTTAAACACCTCCAGGGATGGTGATTCTGCCTCCTCCCTGGGCAGCCCATTCCAATGTCCGATCACCCTTTCTGTGAAGAAGTTTCTCCTGATGTCCAGCCTGAACCTTCCTTGCTGCAGCTTGAGGCTGTGTTGGCTGGAGAGACCCTTTAATTAAATCTCAAGGTTAGGTGAAATGGTAATCAAAGAATACAAAAGTACACATGTAAGAAAATGTTAGTGTTAATGTTATACATTGGTTGTCTGAGAGTCAAAACCCACTGGCCTTAAGGGCAGGAGAAAATGTCCAGTGAAAGCAAGGGAGTTGTTCCCTTTATGGTGCATTATGGTCTCTATTGTTGTTTCTTGGGTGTTTTTGAAGTATCTGAGATCAACCATTATCCAGAAATTAATCTGAAACCACCTGTCAGGTCTTGAGAAGATTCTGATTTGTTACAGACAAGCAGGTAACCATCCCTGTATCTCCCTGTCTGTGAGCAAAATTACACTCAGAGAATTAGTAAATAAATTGGCCATGCTTTGGTTGAGAAGCCCAAACTAGAAGGAAAATACCAGAATGGTCATAGAGTTCTCCATAATATGCAGGATTTTATTACAAAATATTGTGGAATTAAGCCCTACGTTCTTTTATTAAACCTGCTTCAATGATTAGAAACCCCATATCAAATTTGAATGTTTTCCTTCAGGTAATGAATGTTGCTGGAAGCAAAGAAATGCTGTCATTGCAGGGTTTGGTCACTACTGTCCTGGCATGACTGGGAACAAGCAACTCCTTGAGGGAACACGATTAAAGAGGCTGCAGGGTTAGGTGGTCTCTTCCTATGGCTCTGTGCTGAGACCCCAAGAGCCGTGGGTGTGAGGTGGGGGAGAAGGGAGTGAACTGTCAGGGTTGCGTGTTTTGACCCATCTGTTTAACGTTCCTGCTCCCTCCAGGTAAAATGGCAGGCGCTGGGCAGCGCAAAGGGAAAAAGGATGACAACGGGATCGGCACAGCCATTGACTTCGTGCTGTCCAACGCCCGGCTGGTGCTGGGCGTGGGCGGAGCGGCCATGCTGGGCATCGCCACGCTGGCCGTCAAGCGGGTGAGTGGGCAGGGCAGCGCGCTGGGGCTGGAGCACGGGGCACTGGGAGGAAGGAGTGGGAAATAAAAAGACACGGTACGGGGTAAAATGCCGGTGCTGGGCCCTTAGAGACTCAAACTGTTCCTGGTAACGTTGGTTTAGATGTACGACCGGGCAATCAGTGCTCCCAGCAGCCCCACTCGCTTGAGCCAGTCGGGAAAGAGAAGCTGGGAAGAGCCAAACTGGCTGGGCTCCTCCTCACGCTTGCTGACCCAGGACATGAAGACCAGCCTCAGCCGCTCCCTGCAGACTCTTCCCACTGATCCTTCAGCTGCTGATGCAGGTATGGAGCACGGTCGTACTCCTGCGGTACAGAACCATCCAGGCCCATAAATCCTGTATTTGTTTAAAGGAATGCAGGAAAGAAAATATTCTGTCTGTCCCAGGATTTTGACACTTTTCTTTTAAGCAGTTCCTCTGGTAACTTCAGGAATCAGGAGTCACATTATCAACTAGGGAATAATAATCATCTATTTGCATTCTTCATTTCTCTCATGACTTCATGTTGTTAAGCTTTACTCTCTCTCTCTGGCTTTAATTTTTGAATCTGAATACTAATTTGTGCAATCTTTGCTAATAAAAAGCCATTCCATTCCTTTCAAGCTCTTCGTTGCCTTTCTTTGGGCCATTCCAGTCTGTTTCTTTTTAAGGGGGAAATATTCCCACTGTGAATGTACTAGCAATTTATAAGAGTATTTCCTATATTATTTCTACCATTTTTCAAACAATTTCTGTAATGGCATTTCCCTGTTTACTGCTGCTCATCACTGAGTTGGTCTTCATCAGGCTATAAAAAGTGTCCT